CTAAGATGACCCAGTATCATTTCTTCCTCCTGCACTTTCAATAAACTCTTAGGCTGCATATGAGGCATAGTAGAAACAGATACCGTTGATCTTCCTTGTAATGTTACATCCAAAAAGTGTTCCTCTGTTTGCTCTGTGCAGTAAGGTAGAAGACATGAGGAAGAGCTAGTTCTGAAAACACTCTGTCCAGCACTTTTGAGACAAGATATCTTCAAGTTAGTTAGGACATATTTGTGCTCCAGTTGTAGTGCATGATGCCAAACCAAGTGGGGAGTCTTCTAGGACAGAGAAATCAGGGAGAATGTCAAAATTCAGCACATATGAAAGAACAGCTGTAGAGCTTTGGAATTCTTCTTGATTCCAATGTACATGTGACTTCAATGTCAATGAAGGCCTATTCCAAGTTTTCACTGAAGATTGCTTTATTGGTTTTTTTCCTATATATTGTTTGGGCTCCTTTAAGAGAAAGAACAATATAAAAATAAAATAGATCTACAAGCAGTACTGTTAGGTACCTTATGTATAATTAGATGCTACTTTTTTCAATGTCAATGAAGGCCTATTCCAAGTTTTCACTGAAGATTGCTTTATTGGTTTTTTTCCTATATATTGTTTGGGCTCCTTTAAGAGAAAGAACAATATAAAAATAAAATAGATCTACAAGCAGTACTGTTAGGTACCTTATGTATAATTAGATGCTACTTTTACTACTCCCAAGCCTAAGAATAGGGCTTGAATCATGAAAAAGAAAACCAACCCACACTGGCTGTGAAATATGATTAGCAGAATCATCGTCATCATGATTCAAAACATACACTCTTCACCAAGCACCTAGCAGACCAACTCAACTTCTACTTCCTCAAAAATATATACAATATATCTCAGTCTATGCATCTGATAATAGGTCATGGTGATTGTTCATCAACCAACTTTCTGTAATAATCTAAGAGAAGACATAGCTCTAATTTGGAAACCAAGGATTTGGGATTTTTAACTAATACACACATCTAGCAAGTAAACATACCTGCACTACCACTGGGACACAAGCAGCAGAACTAAAACACTTCAGGAAGAGGAAGAAGAAAGTCTTCTGGTGGAAATAAAGAATAGTGGTCAGCCTGGCCAGTTCACCTGCCACATTCACCATTGCTGTTTTCTTACTCTGAGGCCTAAAAGAAAAGCAAAAAGAGAGTCCTGGCAGATCAGCAAAAAATATGTTTCATCTGGCATTCTGTTTCTAATCATGGACAACCAGATGCTGCCATAAAGCCCACAAAGAGGACATGAAAACAGTCTCCTTCTTTCACTGTTAACCCAACTGGTGATTTATGAATGTTATTCAGTGTTACAATTTCATTACCAAGTTCCTCGCACTTATGACTACTGCAACGTCCCACTGTCACTTGATCGCCATTTGCGTGCTTCACAGCTGGCTTCAGACAGAGTGAATGGAGAAGCCAGCAGTAAGATTGCAAGTCACAGTCACATGATATCTAGCTTAACAACTGTGGTTGTTAAGCAAGTACTATCTGTAAACAGATAATTGAGCAGCTGAGACCAGGAAAGGACCAGAGAATGACTTTATTCACCCGGATCTATCAAAGACAAGTATGCACTGGTGGCTACTGGTTTTGGTCTGTTTACCTTTAAAAATAGTATACCACACATCCCCAATAACTGTGGGAAGAGTCATGGCCATTATTGTTCCAATACAGGTAATCCTCAACTTATGACAGCAATTGGGAGCAGGATTTCTGTCGCTAAACAATATGGTTGTAAAGCGCGACCAAATCACATAGCAATGGCAATCCCTGCAGTCTTTGTTGCCATCATTAACTGAATCCCACGGTTGTTAGGCAAGGCAATTTCCTGCTGGCTTCCCACAACCAAAGTCAGTGGGGAAGCCAGCAGGAAGTTGCAAGTCCCAGGCCCACAGGCAGGTAAGTGGCTGCTGCCAGGTGGGGAAGAGAGCGAGAGGGAGCCAGAGGAGGATTGGGGAAGGTGCATGAGGCAGGGTCTGGGAGGGTGCGCGGTGGTGCACAAAAAGTGTGGCGCGGTTGGGGAGGGGATGCAAGGGTGCACCATGCAAGTTGGGGAGGGTGCGCAGGATGTGAGGGGCTGTATTGTGTGGGTCAGAGAGGGTGCATGAGAGGCACCACACAGTTCGGGGAGGGTGTGCAGGGGTGTGAGGGAGATGAGACTAGGATTGGGGAGGATGTGTGAGGGAGACATGGCAAGGATCAGAGAGGGTGTGCAAGGGTGCAAGGGAGTTACGATAGCGCTAAACGAATGGTGGTTACAGTCAGTCCTCAAAGTTCCAGCCATCCCAGTACCCCTGCAGTTACATGATTGCGATCTGGGTGCTTGGCAACCTGTTTGCTCTTACAACCGGTTGCCAAGTGCTTCGCGATCATGTGAGTACCATTTGCAACATTCCCTGCCAGCTTGGGGAAGCCAGCAGGGAAGGTGGCAAGTCTCTGGGGTAAGTCTCCCCCACCCATACACTCTCCCTTGGCCCCTCTGTGCTTGCGCCACACCAGCCACTCACGCACCCCCGTGCAACCTCCCTGACATTCGCCACAACTCCCATACACCCTCCCCAACCCTCCCCGTACCTCTCTTGCACCTCTTCCCCACCCTTCCTGATTCTTGCCACACCTCCCTTACACCCCTGCACCCCCTGACCCACACTGCACCCCCTGCGCTGCGTCTCTCCTGCACCCCTGTGCACCCTCCCCAACCCACACACCCCTGTGCACCCTCCCTGACCTGCACCACACACCCCATGCCACAAATAATAAAGTCAATCAGAACAATGTCAAAAGCAAAAATAATCACAAAAAGCAAAGATAAATCTCAAAATAAAAAAAATAACAATAGGTGCTTATAGTCAGTCAGCTGGAGCCAAAAGCATGTGCAAATAAAATAGTTTTATCCAGTTTCTGGAAGTGCAGCAAGTGGGGGCTACATACCCTTCTGGGAAGAGAGTATTCCATAAAGTGGGGCTGTAACGGAGAAGGCCTGCTTTCTCTCAAGGAAGGAAACTTCCAGCAGGCCCTCTCTTAATGGCAAGACTAGAAGATCAGATTCATTTCTGGCAAGGCTTTGCTTGATGTATTCCAGTTTTGCGTCACTTAAAGCTTTAAAGATAATGACTAGCACTTTGAATTGAGCCTGGATATTTAAATATCTTGATGTGAAATTATTTCTCTTTTCACACATCAGATGGTCAAACTGAACACATCAATGCTGTACAGGACCAATATTTACAATGTTAGGTGAATTTTTAGCAAGACAACTAGACTGGTCTATTCCCTCACAAATCACAGCATTTCTCTACTGTCAAGTGCTCTTCTTCTCCATCAGTAGCTACATTCCTGACAGTTCCAGGTGGTTCTACCCACTTCCCTGGTTCCTGCTGTAGTGTAACTACAGTCCATTCATAAGATACTACTACTGGAATAATTCAAATACTTTGATTATTTAAGTAGGAGCACCTAAAGGTCCCCACTTACCAGCTATAATGAGGGGGCCTAATGGTGCATGTTCTCTGCAGCAGCTCCCCTCCTCTCAAATAGCCTGTCCCCTAAAGCACCAATGGCACCCATCCTCAGAGTCTTCTGGAAGGTGAAAACATGGCTCTTCTGGAGCACCTCTGGCATTTAATTGTAGCCAGAGCACCATTTCCATAATTTTAGCCTTTTATGTTTAGGATTAATTTGAAATTTTAAATGGAATTGCTATGTTAATTAATCCTTGCTCTGATTTTGTATTGCATTTTTATATTTTGTAAGCCATCTAGAGTATGACTGGTTTCAAGTGACAAATTTCATTAAATAAATAATTTGATTCACACTGATCTAATACACTCTTACTAACTCCATCGATACTGTTACTTAAACAGAACATCTATCCTAAACACAGCTTATTTGGGGCACGTTCAAAAGTGCATCCAATCAAAATGCTTAGTTCTAGACATTCTCATCCATGCTCTTTGCAGGAATAGAATCCGTTATTTATGAATGTGTAGGTTACCTCAAAAAGTCATGTGAAAGTGAACAGTTATGGGTAAATAGGTAAATAGCGCAGCTGTTCAGTGGAAAAAATGCTTTCCCAAGGGCAAAAGGCGTTTCAGTGATTGTGAGAGTGCACACGTTGGACCTATCTGTATCTCTTTAAAGAAGCCACACCTTTTCCCGGAAAATGTGCATTTAAGTTAAGAAGGCTGTACCCTGTCATCACTTCCTTAACCATTAAGGAAGGAAATGGATGAGATTAGGGAAAGAAAATGAATGATCGGGGCTCCTAAATAACACTAAATTTTTACCTGGCACTGAGCAGTTCTGCAGCTATTCCAGGGTGGAAAACAGGGATGGTATTAAGAATCTTCTCTGGTCCAGGCAGTACTTGAATTGGGTCTTCTAGGATCTCCAGATACCCAGTTGTGCTTTGGCCTATCTGGGGAACATATATCCAGCTAGGGAACAGTGACAGATGTTCCAGCCACTCAAGCTTAAAATGCAGGAACTAACCAAAAGAGAAGAAGTGTTATTAGTTGTACACAAGCAATAGCCTTTTATTTGAAACTGGTACATCTGAATAAGTCAATACATTTAAAAATACCTATCATGTTAATCCCATTCAGGCTTAATGCAGGGCCTGAATTGGATTACTGATCACATTCATGCTGCTAGTAAACATCAGAACCGATGTTCAAATGAAGGAAGTTGAATTTTTCCCTCCCTTCCCATCCCATAGGATATTGCTGGAGGCACTCAATGCATTTCTTGAAAGTAGAGACCAGATCAGATCATCCTGAGTGCCTCTAGCAAAATTCTATGGGACAGGAAGGGAGGGAAAAATTCAGTTTCCTTCATTTGAACATCAGTTCTGATGTTTACTAGCAGCATGAATAAACCAAGTAGAAGAAAAAAGTGAATAAACAGTCTAGCAAACTGCATCATGATTTAGTTGCATTTCTATATGCAGTAACTAGAAATGTATTTGATCTCACAAACTGCTGCTTTATATGTATTTTTTAAAAGTACTATATTTGGCTGTTAATCTTGGTATCAGTGTCACATCCAAAATTAGTTGCTAGGAATCAATGGTGGGAATGGGGTATGTCTCCTGCTTGTGAGCACACCAGAGTTATTTAGTTGATGGTTGCAAGAAGCAAATGACTTGGCCTTGATCCAGCTGTGCTATTCCTCTATTTAAATGAACACCCAGTGCATAATGTGAGAAAGATTTCAAAGGTCCACAATCTTCACTTTTAAGGATTCTCCTCTGCTATCTACAATGTCCCTCCTAAGCAGCAATGGATAGATAAACAACAGAACATCTTAATGCCATACCACACAGGGCAGCGCTCCAGTGTTATCTCGCAGATATACACTTCCATCCATCATCTTATCTTTTTTTCCTGGTTTTTCATTTCTCAAGTAGCCAATGAGCATCAAGCGAGTTTGTTCAAAACATTTCTGGTCGGGCAAAACACCTTCATTTTGGTGGATCCATTCTCTGAATTCATCAGAACTCCAGGTTAGACGACTACAGCAAGGTACACGTTGGAATTGAAGGTCAGAGATAGAAATAATGCTGGAAAATATGATTGAGTTAATTTATAGCAAAGAATGAAGAAACAAATATTGCTGTTGCAGGGCTAAAACAAATAGAGACCTCCATACAAACTGTTTTGACCTCCTAAAATAAAAGGAAGACATACCCATAAAATATTAATTATAAATAATGGGTTTACTAAACTTTCATAGCAGGTGGCATCATCTAACCATTGCTGATCTCAAAAAAGCTATGCAGAGTCAGATCTGGTTAGTGCTTGGATGAAAGAACACTAGAAACCCCACGCTTCAGGACTGAGCAGTTGAAAAAAATCACAGAAGAGGGTAATGGATGTTATTGCTAAGAAAACAACACAGACTTGTCCATGGGATCACAAGGAGTCGAGCTCAACTTGAGGGAAACTTTATCTTTGCCTTGATTGCTATACTGGCTGTTATATTTTCACTTTGCTTCCTAACAAACGGCACATCAGTTCTAGTAATAAATAGCAGAAGGAGTCTACTAGCACTTTTTCCAAGTAGCACATTTTATTACAAGGCATAAGCTTTTGTGAATGGCAGCTCACTTCATTAGATGCATAAGAATGGCTAGACTGATGAGGGATTTAAATTGCAGTGAGGCAAGGGGAAGGAATGGAAGACAGCTGGTTGCAGACGCTCCACTGATTTATGCATCTGATGAATGATAATTATTTTCTCTTTTACCTAAGGGAATATCAAGCCATGCTTTCTTCATCCAATTTTAAAAATTGGAGCTACACTGGAAAATAGTTAATCAGCTGATACTGACCTTACATATGTTTGTCAAAAGATGAGCAATTACATTATAAATAAAATAAAATAAATAAAATTCTTTTAAGAATTTTGCAATGGAAATTATAGCTTGCCTTCATGCTATTGTCCTCACATTCATATTAGATGGGAAGATAAGTACTGTATGAGACATTAAACAAATCCACTAGAACCAGAATCACGGCTGCAACACACTCAATTTTGGCTAAAATTAGGTAGGAATTTATTCCTACTTGTAAAGACTCAGCTGGAGGATGTATTTTCAGAGTACTGTAATCTGAAATCAAATTACAATTTCTTCTGCAAAAGGCGAACCCTTTTGAATTTTCAGTATTTCTGCATAAAATATGACCTAAAACATGATCTGTTCTCCATAGAAGTCCTAAAACTAGATAGATATTTATCTAGATATTTGTGTGTGGCAAAAGCTCTATGAACCTTTGCTTTCAGTAAATGGGGTGTCCCCCGTGGGCAGCAGTAACTGCAACTAAAAGGGGTTCACAATCATGCAAGCACCACTGTATACAGGTAGTACCCAGTTTAAGAACGAGTTCCATTCCCAAGATCTGTCCTTAAATTGAATTTGTATGTAATCCGGAATAGTATTATAGTATAATACTGTATAAGTAGTATTGTGTAATTAACCCAAATCAGCATTTTTAACTTGAATTTTGCTACAATAGGCTCTGTTCTTAACTATGGGTCATCTGTAAACCAGACATTCTTACCCAGGGGACTACCTGTACTCTGACTGAGACAGCATAAGGAAACATTTTAAAACCAGAAAGGCCATCAGAATTAGTTTTACTTCAACTCTCACCAATGCAGCGAAGCCAGTAGAACAGCCTCCCCATCAGCTACCTTCTCTTTAGAAATCTTCAGCGAAGCACACCTGATATAACCTGAACTCCAAACAACTTTATCCACACAATATACTTCTATAGCAAGCTTATAGAGTCAGATTTATTACATTTATATCCACCTTTCATTTAGGAGCTTAAGGCATGGTACATACTGCCTTCTCTTTGTATTTTTCCCCAGAAAAGCCACCCTGTAAGGTAGGTTAGGCTGGTCAAAAGACACCCTGTGAGCCTCTCTGGATGAGGATGAAGTAGAACCTGGGTCTATCTGGGTCTACTGAATAAGGATGAATTGCCCCATCTAGTTCAACACTTTAATCACCATGACTGAAGGGAACTTTTGTGCCTTATAAGCAGCATCGGCCATGCCGGCGCAAGACGCCAAACCACTAACCACGGTTTATTGGATTAAACCAACTGGCAGCGTGCACACAGTATGCGCAACCGTGAACTAACCACGCTAGATAGGTTCGCACAATAAACTAAACCACAAACTAGCCATCAACGTTTTAGCTCAGCCCGTCCCGCAAACTCATTCCACTCGAAGTATTGGTAGATAGATCGCAGGAGGGGAGGCAGAAGGAAAAAAACAAAAAGATGGATGAGCGAAAGAATAATTTCATGCCGATGCAAACCGCCCCCTTTTTGTGCCTCCCACCTGCAGGCAGGCGACGGGCTGCTGCGGTCCGGGCTCCAGGGATGCTTCAGCGCCTG